AATTCAATAAGTTGTTGAATAAAATGTTTGTTTCTAGGTCTTTTATAGATTGAAAAATCATAACATTGAAACTTATGACAAAACACTTTATCTAGTAAATTATAACTTGTTACATTTACCAAAACATAGGTTGTATAATTTGTTGAAATATTACTTTGTTCCAATTTTGAAGGCTTTCAAAAATTTTAGTACACATTAAAATATAAAGGAATGACAGAATTAACACTATAAAACAGTTTAGTATCTATTGAAACACATTTTGTCTTTTCATTAAATGGAATCCCCACCCCCGAAATTATGCAAAATTATAATAAAATGTTTCTAATTTACAGTTTAAAACTTCGAATAAAGACATTTGCACTTAAAAACGTACTTCAAAGTAATCTATATTCACAACGAATAGTTTTTCTTTTTAATCTTTCGTGGGACTGTCAATGAACTTTTGCTTGTTAGTCGCATAAGATTTTTCTTTTTGTAACGATTTTATATATTTTAACAAGCAAATAATTCCACAGGTGCACCCCCACTTCTTAAATGTGATGACATTTACTAATCAATGACGGAATTAACGTTTTGTTTTCGTTTGTCGGTATTCCTACCAGTTGACGGTATGCTTTATAAATGTCTTGGCAAACTTGGTTTCGTCTATTTAAATCTGTCATGGCAGTGCAGTAACTCGCTGATCAAATCTATTTTCGTCTATTATTGTATGTATAATTACAAATTATTTCTGTAAATATTAGACGAAACCAAAATGTGTCCGACCCCATTTTTGTTCATTTTCTGCCTTTTATAAGAAGCCCCCCCCCTTTCTGCTTCTAGGTATAATAATAAAAAGGTACAAAAATGTTCTTCGTTTACAGGAAAAAAAAGACACTAATTTTGTAGCATATCCGTTGGCGTTTCTCTATAATTTCCTGTCTTTTGTTGCTCTAATTAACCTTTGACCTTTAAAGTCACTTTAGCCCCTTTTTCTGTCACATTTGCACAAAGTGCCCGTTTACTCGTTATTTTGTACAATTATTTACCGTAAACTTTAAATTTTTCAAGCCTGTTTCCCTCGTTATGCGTCCGACGGTCTACTTCTGATTTGAATATTGTCATTCAAGTGGACTTTTTCCTTAAAGCTTCCGTCCATGACATTCCTGGCATCTCTGTAAAACATGTTTTCTTCACTCTCTAGGAAATTGTCTAGTATTCACTGATTTACAGGAGATTTGTTTTAGTGAAATGCTTATCAAAACAGTTTTTAAAAATTTTTTTTAAACCTTCTGACCTCCCATTTGCGCCACTCGTTAATTCTCCTGATGAGTAGATGTGATGTACGAGGAAATATGAGTATGGTCAGAAAATTTAATATTAATGGGCTCTTGTATCGATCACAATATCTTTATCCTTTTTGTTGTATTATATATATAGCGGCAGTTGTCTGTATGTGCGTATGTCCGACTAAAAAAAAAAAAAAAATAGTTAATGCCAAAGTAAATATGTATACTCATTATCGCCCAACCCAGGGGCTTCTCGAGGTGGTGTCATGGTTAGCAAGCTTGTCTCGCTAGAACAATTACGACTGAGTAGTGAGTTCGATCCTCACTGGTTGCCCAATACTTTCGGTCGTGTGGCACATCTGAGCTACGCTTGGAAAATCACTATATTTAGTTTGTTTTCAGGGTTCATTCCCTCCCTCCCTCTCAATTAATACTTCATTAAATTTTTATATATTTTTGTATTTTTGAAATATGAAAAGAAAAAAAAAAATTATCGTATGATTTGTATTTACGAAGATATTTTAAAATTAGAATACATTCGAAATTCTCAGTTAAAACGAACGGTAAGAATTTTTATTCTCGAATCTAATTACCGTTCGTTTTTACTATTTTTATTATGCTAAACGCTATCCAAGTATGTATGTATTAAAAATTTATATTCTCTTGAATTTATTTTCCCATAGTAAATATAAGCCTAACTTAAGAAAAAAAAAAATTAAACCAAAGTAAATTTTAAAGAAAAATATTAAATACAATTAACAATTTTTAATATGCACTTATTCAAATATTCGAGTGTCTGGCTACAAAATATACAGACACACCACCCCCATCAATGGACGTCAGATGCAATGGACAAAATCTACAGGTAAAAAAAAAAAAAATTCAGGCTTAGCGTGTCGTATTAGTTCTCAAAGTGACCGCTTGGCGGTGGTTGTTGGCCATTCAATTGTAAACAAAGACGGAAATTACGATACATTAGCTCGTGCGTGAGAAAGTAGCTGTGAGAAATCTATTTTTGTTATTTTGATTAATGTCTATATTAAGTATATTTATTTATGTCATACATACATGTTTATAGTATTTAAATTATGATCATAACTACTGGTAGTTACTATAGTGGTTTTATAACTGAAAAAAATAATCCCTTCCCATCTACGGATCCCTAATAGTCCGTAGATGACAGGTTTGTCTGTATATACAGAATCAATATCACCATAAAAGGCAGTTGTTTGCGTGTGTATTGTTACAAACCAAAAAAGAATAAGATTTTATTTTTAAAATAAAATAAATTCTCAATTAAGTTTTATTAAAGCAAGACAATATAACGAGTCTTGTTTTTTTTTTTTTTTTTTTTTTTCGAAAGTTAATTTAAATAAAATATAGTTAAATTTGTAAAACAAATATTCAACACGACTAATGTTGGCCGTAAGACATGTCTGTCTCCCCTAATTTTTATTTAACTAAAGTTTTCTTTCCAAATACAAACATAACTTGAAATTTAAGCAATCACTTTTCAAAACTAAATTCTCAATGTATTTTGCTTATACTCTTTGAAAATACGAATTAAATACATTTACAGAGAAATGTTTGCTAAAATGTAATGTATAAAAGTAAAACATTTTATACTTAAATCTAAATTCCCCACTAAAATAAATACTAAATTATTTTTTGAAGGCTCGCTAGTTTTTGCTTAAAAAATGATTAAATAAATGTTTAAATATATCTTAGTTTATTTATTAATAAATTGAAAATGTTTAATGAAATTTTATCTATTTTAATTTGTTTGAAAAAAAAAAAAAACAGCGTATTTGTTAGTGTGGTATTTTCCAGAATTATTTTTTAAATTTTTTTTTTGTAACAAACCAAAAAAAAACAAGGCAGTTTATTTTTTAAAGATTGAATAAAACATTTCCGATACAATATATATATATATATATATATATATATATATATATATATATATATATATATATATATATAATGCAACAGTTTTTAAAATATTTATTTGTACCTATGTGTGATATATGAAGACCATACTTTAGTCCATTTATATACTAGCTGACGTACTCGGTAATTCCTGGAAAAGCGGACGTTAATCCCAGTCTCCGTTTTCGTATCCTTTCTTCGGTTATCCGAAAGTAACAATTCAAAGTATCACTGAAAAGGAGCTTTTGTGCGTTCACAGAGAATATCCAAGCGTCGCCCCTCGGATTTTTGGAGGAAATACCAATAAGTTATGAATACTAAAATCGTAAAGCGACTTGCATAATAATAGGCAAATCGGTTATCAGAAAGTAACAGTTCAGAGTAAGTAGTCCTAAAAAGTGCTTTTGTGTGTTCACGGAGAATATAGCCATTAGGAGGGTTAGTGTCGTTATAATTTTACAATAGATGTACAAATAAACTGACGTAGAGTTTCACAATGGACTTGCAAATAGATTTATATATAGATTTACAAACAGAATAACGTAGATTAGAAAAACATCAACACTGACAAATAAGTGCAGTTAAATCATAATTAGCTGATAATTAGCCTTGTAAAAAAAACTTAGTTAATATCATCAATATTGGTTCACGGGTTTAGGCGACAACTGGGTTCAAACAGACAGAAATTACCATTTATATATATATATATATATATAATATTATTTGGTAATCCGTATGGATAATTCTAAAGAGGATATAGATCCAGAGAGTCCAATGCAAGAACAGCGCAAATGATAATTATGAAAACGGAAACTTTAGAAAACCATGGTAATATTTTATTTCGCAAAACTGATATTCGGTTTTGTCTCATCGGACCAAAATCAGTTTGTTTAAACTGATTTTCATCTGATGAGACAAAAGCGAAGTATCGGTTTTATAAAATAAAATATTACCATGGGTTTATAATGTCACCGCTTTCATATGTATATATATATATATATATATATATATATATATATATATATATATATATATATATATATATATATATATATGTAAAAATGATTTTGAACTAATTACTGGCTTGCAAATATGACGTACTAAATCTTTGTAAACAACAGGCTTGTAAAATATAAATAAAAATGAGATTTGTGCATCAAATCTCTTCAGCCAAAATTAAGTATGATAAGGTTAAACGAAGTAGATACTAATAATCAATTGGATTATTGATACTATTTTCAAAGAAATGCTTTTGTAACTCCTAGGACTGATTTTTAATTTAAACTCGAGTTTGCCTTTTTAATCTGTGGATTTTAAACGTGAAAGAGCAACAATATTTTTCAATGAATAAAAAGGGACAAAACATTTCTTACTTTAAAAAAGTAATAAAAAACAGACTCAAGAATGGACAATATAAAATTCTTAAATATTCTAAAATATAAAATTCTTTTTTTTTCTTTAAATTCTTGCTTAACGTTTAACATAGCATAAAAAATAACAAGAATAAAAAAAGATATAAAAAGAACATATTTCATTGTCCGAGGCATTAAAATATAGTAATATAGTTTAATATTGAAAATAGAATGATACATTATGGACCTGTGCACCGACTTTAACAGAATGTGGCACTCGTGCAGGGTGATACTAATTTTTAAAAATTTTTTTGAAAAAAATCAACAATTAGCAATTAAATATCAGTGTAGACAAGTGTATTTTGACTTGAATAAAACTCCTAACTGTTATGTAAAGAAATCACTAAGAAGTAAGAGCTACACAAATGCAAACTAGAGTCTTGAAAATCGGTAGATGCCGGGTTGCATGAAACTTCCAGTAGCTGCTGCAGCTGAGCCGGTAACAAATTGTATTCTTCCTTGGTATGACAATAAATTACATCTGGTAGCAAGGCCTTTAATCAGGAATTTTTGAGGAGCGTGGAAACATGGCGTAATTGCTGTTGTTCCCAAGTCTACTCTGATCCAAGGTGGCAGCACCTGTTAGGGTTCCAGATATGGACAAATAGTTTACCGCCAAAGTGGGATGAAAACACTATTAAAGTATAAAAATAGATTTTTATACTAAAAATATTAGCAATATATTTTTGCCCCCCAAAAAAACAGCAATACATCTGACTCTCGACAAAACCCCTCTTTACAAAAATACGTCAATGAAACCTGAGCTCCAGGGTGGACCGATAGTCTTGTCACCCCCTACATAACATAATTTTCTATTTCAGATGGCTGGCAAGAGCCCTTAAAGTTTTGCCGAGTAGACGCAGTTGACCGTATTGTTTACAAAAAGTCTACGCTCCAACAGAAGCAATACCCATTGGATAGATCAATATACACCCCGAAATAACCGCTTTAACGGCCTGTCTAGCCCGGGGAATTCAGAATCCTGTAAGCCGCACTTTACTCAGCGTGGAGGTAATATCCAGATGGCTGCATTTAGCGTGACAATCAAAGATTAAAAGTCTAGTCAGAGGGGTTTTTGTTTTTTGACAAGGAGAATTGGACATGCCACTTGATACATATCGCACTTGTCTATCCTTCCTTTTGATCCTCTGATCATCGCAAAACAAATTCAATTTTTTACTAATCCAGGAGTATTATCCTTTGTTGGATTCGAGAGATATTGTCTTTTTTCTCCAAAGGCCTGCATTGTTTTTATCAGATGAAGCCAGGCACACTGGTTGCAGTCGAGAACAAAATGTCTCAGTTTATTAATGAATGATATTACACACGATGTCATTCTCGGAAATTTATCGAGAGATGAATATCTTTAAGATTTCACTCGAGGTTCTACCTTTTCCGTAATTGAACCGAAAAACCACCGCGGATTGAATAACGTTCTTGTTTTCTGGGTTTAAACAATTTAAATCACTGGATGGCCAGTCTATAGGTTGGATGGATAGCCACTTTGGCTCCTTTACCCAAAAGTCAAAATTGGTTTTGAATTTGATAATCGAGTTGCCTCGAGTAATTATGTCAGCGGGGTTAGCATCAAGGCTCGTATTTCAAGAGAATTTTGATGGAGAACCTAGTTTCAATTTCTCTTTTGATTTCTGTAATGTCATTGTCTCTGTTCTTAAAAAAATATTTTTGGTCTTAATTATATGTGAGAGCAACCATGACAAAACATCCTGAGCCTCCACGGTAACAATTATCTCTCCAAAAATGACATGAGAAAAGGTACACAATAGTGTAGCAAGACACTTAAATTCTAAAAAGACAGGCAATAATTCCAGGGTAGGGAAAGTTTTTTTCTTGAGTGGGGTGGCAATTTATCCTGGGCGAAAATTAGGGAGGACATTCCTTCATTCACAGAATATGTTGTAAATCAATATGTCTGTTTTGATGCATCACAAAACAAAATTAATGAGGAATCGTCCTCTTCATTTAGTGTCCATCTGGGGAATTGAAGATTAATCAGAAGGGTCAAATCTGTGGACAATATGTTCCACGTTATTAAGTGTTCATGAGGAATAGGGTCGTTCCGTTCTAAATTCAACTTCCAATGTTCGCTAATGAGGATACGGCCTTTAATGGTGATAGGAAGTTAAAAAGATGGGGAGAGGGGGTCAAAGTTTTTGATACCTCAGAAAGTATACTTGATAGGTCAGGGGTCATTGAAATGATGGGAAACGCACAGTAAGTCTTTGTAGGGATTATATTCACGGCCCAAGACCTTTTTACACCGAGACAAATGTTTCTCAAGATTACGGTCCTCCCTTATTTTCTCTCTCAGTTCACTGCAGTTGGTGTTACAAAAACGAAATTGAAAATTACCTTCACTCATCCTCTTTATAGATTCAGAGTAAAGGTATTTTAGTTCCTGGGTGTTATTACAGGTCTTAACCAGGTTATCCATATAAAATGATTATTCAGCATATGAGTACATTCATCCTCAGGGTATCTCGAAGCGTGGTGCTTTAGTAGATTGTTCAAGATAACCGGAGAGACATTAAATCCAAAAATGAGGGAACACTAACGATAACAAAGTCACTGATTTCCATTCTTCAATAAAAACCCAAATCTATTCGTGTCTTCCTCGAATGACAAAATCTTATCCTCAAGAAGGATTTTCGGATTTCCCCCAGCAACACTTACTTATTGGAACGGAACAATAACAACAGTTTCAACAAATCTCTCATGAGATTAATGCCGAGATAAGTGACCTCGTTCAGCGAAATAGCACATTATTTAATCGTGGATTATTCACCATCTTTGAAGACAGGAGGATGAATCAGCCAAATATAATTTTTGTATTCGCTGGCGTGGGGAGGCCTCTATTTTCTCTATTATTTCTTTTCTGTGTTGCTCTCAGAACACTTCCAATTAATCAGAAAACTTTGCTTCAATCGCCTCACAACTCTATCCAATACTTCAAGGGACACACAGTAATTTGGAGTAATTTGGAGTAATTTTGTCTTCCAACCAAGGGAGTTTCACATAGTAACATTTGTTTTTAAAGACGTTTTGAATTTCTCAATCTTTTCCTGGTCGTGCTCAGAAAGGTCCACTTTCTCAGTAAGTCCCAGAGTCTCGATGGAAAACAGTTGTTCAATGCCTCGTTCCGCAAAACTTTCCTTGACTGAGTCTCTGCAAGGATCAGCATAAGAATGTCTCGGCTCTAACACAAAATTCACCGCAGAAGAAGGATAGGAAGCCATTTTGGGAATCACCATTTTATAATCCGTAGCTTTTAACGCAGAAGATTCTACCGGGACAATATGGTGAATATACAAAAAAAAAAAAAAAAAAGAAAAAGTGAATGCTGTTTTCAAAGGGGATAATACTCTTGGTGGTTTACTACGCAGAACCATGAAGACATTTGATCAAATTCGATTTTATTCAACACCTAATAAACCCTGAAGCTTCACAACACGCGAATCGCTTTCATCAATAGCGGTAAGAGTAACCGCGATCCTTTAGATTCTCAACAACCTGATCAAAGTTTGAGAATTCCAGTTTCATGTCGAATAGACAATCAATTAACACAGAGAGTGGTCTCGTGATACCAATTCCACCTCCAAAAACACTTACCTAAACGTTTTTTTGTTGGATACTCAGGTACGTTCTTACAGCATATTCAATACCAGTACCTGCAAGACTCCAAAATATCACTGGAAAAAATACATCCTTTTGCTCCCAGAGTCCAATAAATAGTTACACTTACACCATCTTTTCCCTCTTTTCAGTAAGACACTGTAAATAGGCAAAATGTAGGATTGATCTGTCGCACCTATATTAATATAAGTGTTAACAGCAGATTTCTTAGGTACAACATCCGGGCACAGCGCTCAATGGTGGCTCCGAGAAGAACAGTATCTACAGGGGCAAATGAATCTTCCACTCTTGCCTGGACAGTTAACAGCAGAATGCTTCTCGCTTGCACAAAAGGGGGCACAATTGGTGTGGATAGCACGTCATAGAGAGCAGGCGGACTTACTTATTGGCGCCGTCGTTGGTCTGCATAAGGGCCTGAACATGTCCGTCGGTGGTATCGATGAGATCTGACTTTTGGGTGAAAGCATCACATACCCAACTTTAGCCAATCAATATGTCGAAAGTTAATTAGCAGTAGGGATAATTTGAAATGGAAAGGAATAAGGGGAATATACTAAATAAATAAAATTGAATAGTCAGCAGAATAAAGAAAGGGAATTCTATTACACTTGCAGGAATGGCTGGTATGATGATGATGACGGTAGGAACCTGGAAGAATGCGATCTTCAAGAAAACGAGTGAAGTGATAAGAACGTGATCCAAATAGTCATTTTCGTGATAGATTTGAAATCATACGAGTTGCTACTAGATAAATTGGGAAGTGAACTATTTAAGCTGAGTATGGCCAAAGTGCAGGTAGTACAGAATCATGCACGAGAGGGTCGGTACCTCAGTTTATTGTATTTCCTGAAGCGGGAGACTCCAATAATGGAATTACAGTAGAAGGATAGGAAAAGTAATTTAAAGGGAATTGAACTGTTACGGACAAGATTAAAAAGTTGTCTTTCTCATTCGGAAAGCGCTAACTGTTCTATTCGGAACAGTGTCTGGAGAAGATGTTAAAATTATGAGGAAGCCGAAAGGAGTGGAAAAGAATCAGAGAGTTTTACCCTAAATCGCATGGGAGAGTGTATCGACGAGATTAAAACTGGCGAAAAACAGGGCAAGTATAAATTGATTAATAAATATGCGAGAATTGAGACAAGAATCCATGGCGAGCGAATTACATGAGGTAAGTAGTTTCGTTCTGCAGTATTTCTAATTAATGACAATTACTAATAAGGTGCGCACCAGACTAGCCAATCTTTGATGATTTTATTAGAGCATGTGACATCTCAGTTGGTTATGTTATCATTGGAACGCTCCCCACCCACGAGTATAGTAGCCCCTGGTCACTTGAAGGAGTTACTATTAAAAATACAGACCAAGTTGCCTCTTCATTTAAGGCTGCCAGTAGACCCCACTGAAGAGTTATAGAAATACTACAATTCATTATGTTGTGTTACCTTATTAGAAGATTATCAACTGTTGGATTTGATATCCATTCCGTTATTAGGCACGGATAGTACTTTTGAGATATATCAATTGAAAAACTTATCCATTCCCTACTCCCAGAGTAGAGCAGGGACTAGGGGCTGTTGCAAAATATCAAATTGATAGAGAGTATATAGTTTTGAATTCGGCAAGAACAAAGTTTATGTTACTGACGACAGGAGAAGCAAGGAAATGTAATGATGCTTTGGAGATGTGTACCCCATTAAGTCCCATTTATGTGACGGGGAATCACAAGTTGTGTGTGCTCGAATTGTTTAAGGGAGATAAAGAGGGAATTAAAGAGAATTTTCAAGTAGAAGTATTGACAAATACAGTATTACCTCAAGCTGTCAGTATATCTGATAAATTGATCTATCCAGAGTATTCGGGAGGACCCACAAGAAAAATAAAGATAGAATCCCCATTGTCTTTGATAGAGTTATCCCTGGGATGTTCAGTATTTTGAGTATTTATCTCCCAATAGAGAAAATTAGTCTGAACCAATTGAAAGACAAAATGAGTACTATAGGAGAAGAGAGCATAATTTGGAGAGATAATTCAGAAACTATAATGAATTGGTATGCCATATTAGGTACCTTAATAGCTATTGCCGCAATAATAGCGGCGTTATGGAAGCTGAAAAAAGCATAGGAAGATATCAATTACCCGCAAGTCTTGGCGAGTGTGTATAAGAACCAAGAAAGGGACACCATTTAGTGTTCTTTACCGAAGCAGATCGAATTCGGAGGAAGAAGAATCTAAGTTGAATTCAGTAAGAGAACTGGAAGCGGTATCGACATCTGTGGAAGGAAAATCAAAACTCACTATTGTGGAAACAGGAGAATTGACGAAGAAGGAAAAAGATAAAAGTTCATCAATTGAAACAAAAGTAAGGGGAGCTGCGAGCCCCAGGTTGAATGATTAATTTGTAAGGGATGGTGCGAGCCCCAATATGGAAGCGAATGTTCATGAATCGGAAGAAAAGAAAAAAGACTTTTTAATTCTATTGCATGTTTAGTAGAAACATTAGGCATGAAGAACATCGTTGGTTGATTTTTTTTTTATTTTTCTAACCTTAAGGGAGGTGGAGTCAGATGTCATATACAAGAAATGACAAAAAGGAAAGCGAGTGACACTGAAGCCATGATGTTGCTAATGTTAATGCGAAAATTGGAGAATCAGCGAATCCTCAGAACCCGTTGGCCTACTCCTGTTTTGGGCCGAAGTGCATATAAGCAGAAAGCTTTGAGAGCTCGAGGACTTGTGAGGCAAATTCCCGCATCAAGTTTCTTTGGAATTCACGTCAGCTGCCACCATATCTCCTTACTCTGAAGAACTTTGAACCCAGCTCCTCCAGAATGTAGAAATTGATGCGGAAAGGGTTTTGTACCAAGAACTATATAAACCATTGAAGATAAACCCACCGAATCTTTCGTTTTATTTTTCGTTGCGAAGATATTTCTTCCTTTAATATACCTTCCACGCGGCTCGAACCAGCGCTTCAAATGCTACGACATTCGATCTTCCATTGCTCTGAGATCAAGAACACAACACAGATTTGGTGTGGATCGAAGCGGCCAGCGACCAACGGCCAGCTTGGGCCAGCGTCAGTATTGACTAGCACGGGATTAGCCCTGTGGTTTAAACCTGAGAACCGGAACGCTAGATGTAGCCGGCGTGAAGAGGGGATTCTATCTATCTATCTATCTATCTATCTATCTATCTATCTATCTATCTATCTATCTATCTATCTATCTATCTCAGTAGGTTCATATCATTTCATGGGTTGTCCACTGTATTCGCGTTTTTTCTGTTATCCCAGTTTGTTCAAATGTCTTTATCACACTTTTTTCTATTTGTTCCCGATACGAATCTATACTTTCTTTCTCGCTCCTTTCCTTTCTTTTTCTTCTTTACTTTTCTTGTTGATTTCTATTGTCTGACATTCATCACACGCAGCCTTACCAGACTGATAACCCACCCAGCCAAAGTGTCTTTGCCGACTCTTATTGAACTAATCAAAGAGTCACTCCCATTTCCCGCCTTTCTACAAGTCTAGAAAAGCAAGCAGACTCTCTTACATTTATCTTTTATTTTTTTTATTTTTTTTATCAAAGATGGAAAGACTATCCGATTGTTTACTTTTCGTCCTCCTGGCCACTTCATTTTGATCTGATGAAAGCGGTCAGTTAGTCAATCAGTTATTTTGGAATCAAGCAGAAAATGCAATACATATCTCTCTTTGTGTTTCGATGCTCTTAAATCTCCATGTACAGGCGTAGCATAGTTGAATCCATCTAACATCTCCGTCGACAAGAAAAGAAATAGAATTTAGCAAGGGAAATTCAAGATCTCTGTAGATATTTGTGCCTTTATAAGACGTAGTTGCTTTTATGAGTTGTTGATAGAGTGCTTCCGAAACAGGCTTTTAACTTGTCAGAAAATAGTTTTATTTCAGCAGTGAAGATTGTTTTGCTCCAGACTTTCAAGTGGGGAGGTTTCTTCAGATTAGAAAATCAGAATTCCTCATTTTACTTCTTTTTTTTTCATCTCGACACAGCAAATCGACATTGGTGCCAGATGAAAGTACGCGACATTTTCAGCTACGAGGTTGATTGATCGTCGATTTGTAGATTATTACACGGTAACATTATGCTTGGATGTGTTTGGTACGAAACCAACATTTTTGGATACTCAGAGAAGACAGAACTCCTATGTAATAAATTTGGGTTATGTAATCTCGACAGAGTTTTAAGTTATTGACATTTGAAAAAACGTTCATGAAAGTATGTTTCGAAAATAATATCCGATAATATATTTCTCCTATATGGCTTCATCAGATGGATAACGAAAAATGTGTTGTGTGTATGTAAACACACACAAATGCATACACGCACAACGTATTTTTCGTTATCCATCCGATGAAGCCATATAGGCGAAATGCTTTGTATTATTTTCAAAACATACTTTCATGAACGTGTTTCCAAATGTCAATATCTTATAACTCTGTCGAGAACTCACAATTTCTATGCCACCAAATTCACTTACCAGCTCTTTAAACAATTAAATTATTGTTTAGTGGGAAATTCTGAACCTTATACATGGAACCTTAAATTTAATGTAGGTTAAATAAATCTAATGTAGATTAAATAAAGGATTCAATTCAAAATTACTTGAAGGTTATCCGGATGACATCTGAAGATGACCAGAGGGCATTAACGTCGAAACGTTGTGATACTAACAACAAAAATGAGAAAATTATTCCAAATGTAAATAGTTTAAATAAGGATAACTCATCACTGTGAAGAATCACACAAAGATTATCATCATAATTGTTGTATTGATAATGATTTTTGAAAATGGTGTCCTCTTTTTGTGATGTCAACGAACACTCGTTGCCACTTTTGGGATGTCAACGAATACTTGTTGTCACTTTTGTAATGCTCATTGTAGTAGAGACTTTGTAATCGCAGATACAATTATAATACGCCGTTGAACAATACTGGTGTCAGACGCCTTCGAATAACACTCGTACTAATAGTTCTTGCTCGATAATACTCGTTCGAATAGTAACCACCGAATAGTGATCCGTATAGTGATTAGTATAGAGAAATAGTATAGGGAATAGAGAAATACCGAGCCGTACAGTAATAGAGGGTAGAATAGAAATGGCGATCATTTAGACGTCACGCTAATTCCCATGTATACATTTCCTTTACTACCACGTGATTTAATTATTTCGAATGGGATCAGCTGTGTTTGCTTTCTGGTGATCTGTGTTCAAACTCCAGCGACACATTACTCCTGTACGACACATCTTTGGTAGTTTTTACGCATCCAACGTATAAGTCAGAGGTTCCAAATCTTCATCACCCACTTCTATATGGAAAAGTCTTCCACTTTCTACCTTGTCGTTGTTGTCAGCAACCGCTTGCATCCGATCAACGGGATCGTTATCCTCTCTATTCCCTTTTGCTCCACCTCCTAGTTGCGGTGATGGAGATGGCTGCGACGACGACGCCATTCACGTGAATTTGATTTTGGTGGACAAATCTGCGTGACGGAGAAGCCCACACGCTTGGTTAGAAGCGGGCCAAAGGGGATTGAGACAGACAGGCGAAATCTGGCAAACCTGGTTGCATCGGGCTGTCTGGTGCTTGGTCTGTCAAGATCAACCATGGTTACGCTAGTCCGACTGGCGATACCCTCTTCTACCGCTTTGGCCGTTGCCTATTCCACCGTTGGGGTCTTCGGAGGTTGGTCGCGTATATCTGGTCTTCCTTCTTGAACCTTACCGCCATGGCTGTCCCAGTAGGAGATGGAACTCTTTCTTGGGATCACTAGTGTAAACAAGCCCTCTACTATGACAAGGAACGACCATATATCTTTTAAACTGGATATCAGAGTGAACAGTTCGTCATCAAATGTACGACTTTGACTTATTACTTTAATGACAATAATAGAAACGAATCAATAAGAAAAGAATAAAACTAATAAAAGTACAAAATTATCTTTAAATATATGAAAACATTTTTATTATCGTTGTTGCTAAAAATAAATATTTAAGGGATAAATAATAAAGGAAGAAATTCACTATTAAACAAAAAAAATAACGTTACGACTCGAAACACTTTTCTTACAAATTTGAAAATACGCCGTCCACCTATATTCAAAAGCATACCAAAATTGTTTGGCAAAAGTTTCTTGTTCTTCTTCCATGTGCCGTGTCCCGTCAGGATGTGGGCGATCATGGCTCTCCACAATTTCCTCTGGTTTGTAGCTCTTTGTTACTGATACATAAGCTAAGTTTTTGATGTAGTAAAAATACCAAAGGGAGGTAACAAATAACGCTGATTTACCCGGAGATTGTTGCTGCTGCTATCGTATTAAAGAACAAATGAAAAGCAAACTTAACCATTGAAAAGTATATATATATATATATATATATATATATAATTTAGTTTTACGGTTAGGGTCTAGAAGAGAGAGCTGAAATCATATGGACATATAAGAATCAATAATAAGATATAATTTATCTATCTATCTATCTCATTCTAATGATTATCTATTTCAGTCTTTTCATCTGTTTCAATCTTTTCATCTATCTATCTATCTATCTATCTATCTATTTGTGTGTTTGTGCACGCTTGCTTTCGTGCAAATGTATGTAATATTACAGTGGTGTGCTTTGTTTCCAGTAATATGACCTTTTTAACTGGTCATAAGAAAACAGCTTTTTGCTCAGCTATAAGTAACAATATTCTCATACCTACTGACATATGGGCTACAAGTTTCATAGATCTGGCACATGTAACAATTTTTTAAAATTCTAGCCCTCTTTTATCTGAAAACATAAATAATATTAGAAAGTGAAACTGAAAGTATAATACTTAACGGCGTTTATAAGCAAAACATTTTTTGCATATACGTTTTGAATCACTCCCTTGTTGCTGATATAACTATTTTCATACTGAGGATGGGTTTATGGTTCAGATAAAACGATAATAATTTGGATAATGATTTTATAAAATCAGGAAATTCCTCTAAATTTGTCAGACACCATTGTCCATTCTACGATAACTTCCCAATTTGACCCTTTATCGGACTGGTCATGATTTAGTAAACATCTGTATTAATGGCTGTATACCAACAGATGGTTTCCGTCAAACAGCACCGTCGGCGTCGGTTGGTTAACTCGAATTTTCTGCTCAATGAATTCCGTTCAAACGGCTAGTCTGTACGTAAACTGACCACCGGTCATAACAGGTTCTTAACAGCTCACTGACTTTGTTTTTCTCTTGTTCTTGTCATGCCTTTATTCATATTTATCTCTTATTTCCTTTCGCAGTAAACGCGTCATACGGGTTGAAGAGTTCCTTTGTCTAGTTCTTTTTTTTACTTACATCACCACTAAGCCATTTCCCCGGTCAATAATATTTATATATTTTACTCGGCATTCAATTTTCTATGTGTTGACTCCACAATATCTAATTCAATCTTGGAGTATTTAATTCTATTTTATGGACGTATTTAACTAATATTGGTATTTTATTATGTAAATCTATCTATCTATCTATCTATCTATCTATCTATCTATCTATCTATCTATCTATCTATCTTGTTCTAATGACTATCTATCTATCTATCTATCTATCTTATTCTAATGACTATCTATCTATCTATCTATTTTATTCTAATGAATATCTATCTTATTCTAATGACTATCTATCTATCTATCTATCTATCTATCTATCTATCTTATTCTAATGACTATCTATCTATCTATTTTATTCTAATGAATATCTATCTATCTATCTATCTATCTATCTATCTATCTATCTATCTATCTATCTACTGATATTGTACAATAGAGTGTGTACGGTTTTAGTGTATATGATACTACTTAAATAGGCCGGAAAATTTCACCTATATTTATGATATTCTTATTCATACATTAACATTTAATGGTAAAATTAGCCGTTTCCATATAAGGAAATGTTCGGTATTCATTGATAGAATTTCATTGACTACTGTTGGTTGAATATCATAAAATCTGTCTCTTGCGTACCTCGTAGTGGTGTAATGGTTAGCAATATTGTCTCGCTAGAACAATTACAACTGAAAAGTAAGTTCAATTCTCATTCCATCACCCGTACTTTCGGCCTTGTGCTATATTTAAGCTACGCTTAGAAAATTATCATGAAATCTGTCTCTCGAAAAAAATTTTTTCTGGGAAATAAGTTTCTCAAGTCCAGTAGCTGTTATCGCTCTTTCCAGTAGAAATGGGGGTTTCCTTCCTAATATTTTATTCAAAGTAGTGTGGACTGTAAACATCTTTATTATGTAATTGTTTTCTCTTGGAGTTACAGGCGATATTTATTTCAGTTGTTGCTGCTGTTGATTCAAAGTATTTTAGACCAGGACATTTCTTCCCGTTTGGTTTTTATTTTATGATGTTATTGCAATTTTCTGCATTTTTCCTGATTTTAACACATTGTCTGTGGTGCTTGGCGTCATTAATTTTATTTCAATTATCTAAATATTAGTTTCTTAAAGAGTTAAAATTTAAAATTTTCTTTTCGATTGTTTAGCATTTTTCCCTTCAATTTTTTAAAGGTCGTCATTTACGGACAACTTTTCCAAATACATTTAATCTTACACATTCTAATGTGTGTGAAAACAATTAGCACGTATAACTTGTAACTAGTTTTCCTTACGAGAATAACGTGTCTTACAAAATTGTACGTATCTCTTTATACTGTTTTATTATATACGCGTGACGAGTGATAAGTAAAATCTCCTGTCCGTGTTTTAAATGAAATGCAACGAGGTAACTGCTACCAAAGTGAAATAATGTACTATCCAAAAGGACGAGGTTTGATTGATAACTAAGGTTTCAAATTCTATAAAACAGGTGTTTCGACTGAATAATGAAACTCGTATCAAAATAAAGGAAATTTATTTCTCTTTGAAATGACGAGGGTTGATTGATAAGTGTCCGTGATTAAATTTAAATAAATTGCAGAAGTGCCCAACAAACAGAAATGACAAAGTGTGTAATAAACAAAATCAAGGAAAAGAAACGAAAAGGACAGGACAAATATATAATAATATAAGGCAAACAAACAATCTATGCAAAACAAATTAACAGTAATAAAGCGAAGCAACAGTTATATTGCAAAAAGTTCACAAACTAAGAATTGCGGTTGACACACAAGAGTAATTTCAGATAAGCCAACGTAGCGTTCTGACTTCAAGGCAAGACAGACCGGGACTGAGTCAGATGAAACTGAGAACCGGTCTATTTTATTGGCTAGGAAGAAATCCCATCATGCATTTGTGTGCTTCTACATTGGGGGAGGTGAAACAGTAAAATATTCGAGCTGATGAGTGAGTTTTTAGTCCAGAAAGAATAAATAAACCGCTATCAAAAGGAAATAAATTTATTTCTCATCTAAATTAAAAGTTTAAATTTCAACATGGTCACTGAGGCACTGTACATGACTCTTTCTGAGTCAGAGTTGTGTAGGAGCATCATGGTCAGGTGTGGAGACCGTGGCTTTTTTAAGTTTAAGGGATGAGTGAGCCTATGCGACCTGGGAATCACATCTCACATTAGGAACACGAGCAGTCAGAGGCTGTCTCAGTGTACAAGATCACTCGACCTGATGTTATTTTTAACTGGTTTCCTCCTAAAACCTTATACACTGGTTTGATCAGAACTTGTCATCACATGTGACTGTGATGCATGTGACCGATATACATTTAGCAGACAGTATGTCATGATGCGTATATTGGGCTTCGTATATTTGTACTCCAGCGTCACTTCGTCGGTGTGCTGTTCAATCAATCAATAACTCAATCTATCAGTCAATCAATCTATTAATCAATCAACCAATAATAATAATAATAATAATAATATCGTTTGTATATGTATTATTATAGATTCTGTGAAGTAAACTTATAGTGACCTTTAGGGACATATAATCACCCCCTTCGCATATAAAAAACAGGGCATTCTTTGAGTCATTTTTTAAGAAAAAGTTCTTGTGTGTTGTCAAATATGGTAACCTGTCTCAATAGTAAGTCTGGTCAGTTTGATAAGGTCAAAATAGAAGCTGGCATCCAAAACGACCTTCAGTCTGTTGTCAACAAAGGATGGAATGTTTATTTTAACACCTACAAAATTAAACTGCTCTCTATTAATCATCTGAGATCTCTCTCTCTCTCTGCCATCCATCAGCATGACTGATGTAGACCTCCAGGAGAGTGATTCGTTGTGCCTTCTCGACCTAACATTCTCAGCTGACATGAAGTGGAAAGTCTATATTGAATCCATTGCTAGGTCAGCTGCTAAGAAAGATGGTTCACTGTCTGTGCCAGACAAATTTTATATTCAGCATCTATCTTACGTATCTACGTATCTATAAGTCTACCATTCGTCCACATGTAGAATATTGCAGCCATATTTGATCCGGTGCTCCTGCTAGAGCTTCTTGATAAAATCCAATATTATTGGCCCTGTTCTAACTTCTCGCCGCCAGTCACTCACACTCTGCTGTAAGGTTGCATTCCTTTGCCGTTCCTATAAATACTTTCGTCGTAATTGTTCGGATGAGTTCTGCGCTATGGTGCCTCGACTTTTTTTTAATGTAAGCCCCGTACTTGACTGGCGATGAAGTCTCATTATCTTACAGTTAATTTATCTAGATGCAGCCGTAAATTCTATGCTAACAGTTTCTTTTTTCTCTCGCACTTCTGGCTCCATGCTATCCAGCCAACATTTAAATGCTATGTCAATAGCTATCTACTGCTCTCCTGGTTACTCTTCTTTTTTTCTTGCAAGTTTTCTGTTCATCTCTTCCGCCCACTTTGTGTCTCAGCGACTTTACGGTCTTTCTTGGGGCGAGATCGATTAAAAAAGTGATGAGCGAGAGAGATAGATAGATAGATAGATAGATAGATAGAGAGAGAGAGAGAGAGAGAGAGAGAGAGAGAGAGAGAGAGAGAGAAAGGTAATGTAAGAAAGCGAGATTCAGAAAATTGAATTAAAGGAGAGAAAAGGAAGAACAAAGAAGATAATGAGGCAAAGTGAGAAGAAATACAATGAAAAAGAAGAGGTTATATGTATGCATATATGCATACATATAACATGTATGCATATATGCATACATATAACATGTATGCATATATGCATCAGTCAATGCAGAAAGTTATAACAGCAATTTTATCAGTCGATTTAATCGGATTTGAACACTTGCCGCTAGTTCCAGCTGAATACAAACTTGCAAAGTAACTCAGCATTCAAAGACACCCAAGTAATATATCCACTCAATTTCAAACCGCCAACATCCACGTGTGTAGGTCAAGAATAGGACAATGAAGATTCCTCAAAGATGAAATGTGCGGAGAACAAAATAAATACAAAGCATATGTTTCATAAAGGTGGGGCGTTATGTAATTAAGATTCATTGGTGTTTACAAGTATCCAAATATTACACTGCATCAAAACTGCTGGTGGACAACAAGTCGACATTCAGTTTTGCTTATCGACTGTTTTTGTGATGTCAGCGAACACTGGTTGCCACTTTTGTGATATCAACGAATACTCGTTGTCACTTTCGTAATGCTCGTTGTAGTAGAGACTTTGTAATCGCAGATACAACTATAGTAACGCCGTTGAACAATGCTGGATTCAGACGCCGTCGAATAACCCTCGCACTATAGTATTTGCTTGATAATTCTCGCTCGGAAAGTAATCCGTATAGAGAAATAGTATAGTGAATAGTGGTTTATGATAGAGTAGAAATACCGATCCTAGTAGTAATAGAGAATAGAATAGAATTAATTAGACGTCACGTGACTTCCTACTTATGCGTCTCCTCTATAGTTACGTGGTCTACTTAGTTCAATAATGGGATCGCCTATGTTTGCTCACTAGCAGGAAATCAGTTTGTAGATCAGGTTTCATTGAGGATTTCTGTCGTGAGTCAAATGTATTGTTCATAATATTTTTTAAATGTATTGCTGGTATTTTTACTACAAAAATATATTTATAATTTCATAGCGTTTTCCTTTTGTTTGGAGGTTAACTATTTGCCCATAGTTGGGTCCCTAACAGGTGCTACCACCCCAGTTCAGGATGAACCAGGGAACAACAACAATTACGACGTGGTTCCACGCTTCTCAACCCCCCAACCCCGATCAGAGGCCTTGCTGCTGGATATAGTTTATCGCCATACCCAGTAATCTATGTTCAAACTCAAGTGTCGGCAGCGACTCTTTATTCCTATATAACACTGTTGTGTCTTTCAACACCTGAAAATCGCACCTTAAGCAGTCGCGAACACTCGACTCCGATACTAAAACATTTGCTTAATCGATATTTCTGAACCAAATTTGCTCAGGGCACGCTGTTTTTGTCAGGTGCTCTTAAGGTAACTGTTTACGGAGTACAGATTCCTGAGGAGCAGAAGAAACGGAAGTGACAAAATCAGTTGTCCTTCCTCTTCCGTTCTCTTACCGGCCTACGGGTATAGAGGTCATAGAAATTCATTAAATCCTATTGAGCCTAAACTGCTCCACCCAGAAGGCACGCAAGAGTCAATAAGATTTTATGGAACATCGATTGTTATAAAATGCCCATTTGTGGCAAACTTTTCAGCCTTATTCTGTTTTTTAATCAGAAGTTCTGATTCTGAAAATCATTTTATGACACGTAGATACTTATATAAATGTTTACTAAGCCTAGCCATATATGACACAAA